CCTCACAATGTCGCCATAAGCCATCGCTCGATATTCTGCTTCTGACACTAGACCGAGCAACCACAATTCTGTTTCGCTTGCTCTTTCAGACCAAATTCCTCCTACCAAGACACAATATGCCAGATACTGTAGAACGGTCGTATCAGAAGGGTGATCCTGCCCGAATCAGCATTCTGAGTACCAACGATCTCGTTCATGCCTCTGACCCGCTCAAGACAATAAAACCTTGCTGGAGCTGATGTTATATACGAAGAATGCAACAACTCTGCATCCCAATGACTATCACACGGAGAATCCATAAAACTGACTCAAACAACTCACAGAAAAGGAAATGTCAGGTCTTGGTCACTGTAAGTATGGTCACTTTAATTTACCAACTACAAGTCCGTCTATATCTTGCGAGCATCGCTAAGAGGGCTCCCGCCTGTCCTGGGCATAAGTTTAGAATTCGGGCATCCAATCGGCATGTCACCGCGTCTCTACCAACTGTGCATTCCTGCGTCTTCAAGAATATCTAAGGCATACTTTCGTTGTGAGATCAAACAACCTTGAGCTAGAACTCGCGCGCCTTCCAATACCCAGTAAAAATACTTTAGTTTGCCCAGGATCCTTAGTCGAACAAGTGTTCGAAGAGAATGTTGCTTCAATTTAGTAATGACCATCCTGGTCATGCGCTCATCTGTCCGGGTAATCACCAATGTCGTTCAAACATAGACCAACCAGATAAATACCGAGAGACTCGAGTGCAGAACATTGCCGATAGGAATACACAAATCGATCAGTGCACATCTCACTCTCTTGAATCTTGCCAGAAATTCTCGAATAACGCTGTGGCTGAACACTAGAACCAAACCCCATGTACTCCGTAGGAGACTGCTGCTGTCGCCAGTACGCAACTAAAGTGACCCGGACTGCAAGCGACAATACAAAGCCACGAGACTCCCGCATATCTGAGCAAGCCAAACCCAGGTAAGGTTTCGCTCATATAAACTATCCTCGAACGGGTCACCGTCTGTAAAAAAGCTTCTGTACATGTCCAGCTTGACCTAGATGGGGCCAATTGTTGCGAACGCAACAGCCAGTGGATAGATAAAAGGCGGGAGCACTGCATGCTCTATCTTTAGCCACAGAACGAGAACGGTATCACTGTAAGTCGAGCCCCAAATATCTGAGTATACCTTTGTGCAACAAGACGAGCTTTAGACGACAACCTTACCATCCGGACGCCACCTTGACTGCTGAGCTAATTTGGATCAAACAGTTGATCAAGGAGTTGAAATTTGGTGAGATTAGTCAGATGGGACTTGTGTGTGATAATCAAGCTGCTCTTCATATTGCGTCAAATCCAGTGTTCCATGAGAGAACTAAACACATTGAGATTGACTGTCACTTTGTTAGAGAAAAGATACTCTCGGGAGATATTGCTACAAAGTTTGTGAAGTCGAATGATCAGCTTGCAGATATTTTCACCAAGTCCCTCACTGGTCCTCGTATTAACTACATATGTAACAAGCTCGGTACATATGATTTATATGCACCAGCTTGAGGGGGAGTGTTAGAATAGTCATGTAAATAGGAGTAAATAAATAACCCTAATCCAATATATATTAGGAGTAGGACATGTTATGTGTGTATATATATAGGGCTCATTGTAACATATGAATATACATTAATAATATATTTTCTCCCGTGCTTTCTCACAAGACGCAAGGAAGAATCAGAAGGAATCACTAATCGTCCTCGAAACAATAAAAGGCCTTCCTTGAAAAGAAAATCAGAAGAATTTGCAACAGATGAAGCCAGGTGTGTTTGCCAATCAAACAACTCAGGATGGGAAGAATTTGCTTGCTGTAATTCCTTCTCCAAATCAAACGAGCGACTCGAGATAGCCAAAAATTGAGCAAAATGGTGCCGAGATAGAGCATCCGCCGCCAAATTGGTACGCCCAGGCTTGTAGATAATAGAAAAATCATATCCCATTAGCTTACCAAGCCATTGTTGTTGTTCCGGAGTTTGTATGACCTGGTCAATGAGATTTTTGAGAGCCTGCTGATCCGTATAAATAACAAAATGTCTCCCAAGCAAATATTGTTGCCACTTACTCACAGCCTGAGTAATGGCAAACATCTCTCGATGATAAGCCGAGGCTTTCTGGATTCGGGGACACAATTGCTGGCTAAAATAAGCAACTGGGTGTCCATCTTGAGACAGCACGGCACCAATACCAGTCCCGGATGCATCAGTCTCCAGACGAAACTCCTTGGAGAAATTTGGCAATGCTAACACCGGTGTTGAGCCAAGGGCCTGCTTCAATGTATCAAAGGCAGCTTGAGTACAAGCATTCCACTGAAATGCATCTTTTTTAAGCAAATCAGTGAGAGGACTAGCCATGGAAGCGTAATGCTTAATGAAGCGACGGTAATAGCCCGTTAATCCCAAAAAACTTCGCACTTCTTTGACATTCTTTGGAGTACCAATTTAATATACCCTGAATTTTGGGAGGATCCACAGTCAAACCGTCATAGGAAATCACGTGTCCTAAATAGTCTATTTGTTGTTGGCCAAATAGACAATTAGATTCTTTTGCAACTAAGCAGTTGTCACGAAGCACTTGAAGGACTGTTGCCAAATGCTGAAGATGCAAATCCCATGAGCCACTATATACCAAAATGTCATCAAAAAATACAAGTACGAATTTCCGAAGATATGGCCTAAATACGCAATTCATTGTGGCTTGAAAAGTCGAGGGTGCATTCAATAGACCAAAAGGCATCACTAAAAATTCATAGTCACCCTCATGAGTGCGAAATGCAGTCTTAGCAACATCCTCAGGTCGAATACGGATCTGATGATAGCCAGATAACAAATCCAGCTTGGAAAAATATCGAGCGCCGTATAATTCATTGAATAATTCATCCACAGAGGGCATGGGAAACCTATCACACACAGTGATAGCATTCAGAGCTTTGTAATCTACACAAAATCGCCACGTACCGTCCTTTCGAACCAAAAGAACTGGAGAAGAAAATGGGCTTGTACTGGGTCGAATAATGCCTTCCCGAAGCATATTCCCAACTAACTGCTCCATGACTTGTCTGAAAATACGGATAACGATATGGTTTCACATTCACAGATCCTTCCATTGGCAATAAGTGGATAGCATGGTCTTGGGAACGAGCTGGAGGTAGACCATGTGGTTTGCCAAAAACATCTCGAAAATCTTGCAAGACATTAGACAACTCAGGAGGATAAGAAGGGGTTGAAGAACCAACATCCTGAACAAGTTCCAAGCAGAAGTATGAAGCTATTGCATCCATAGAGGCCAAACGCCGCAGACTTTGAAGTTGTACAGGTTGAACCTCAAGCGGTGGTTCACCATTCCAAACATAGCGAGTTCCAGCCAGAGTGAACTCAAAACAGCAGCGACTATAATCTTTTACTACTGGGCCAAGAGTAGCAAGCCAAGACAACATCAGCACCCTGGAAAGAAAGGACATATAGCTCAAGAGAAAGGAGACACCCTTGAATAGTGAGAGGAACATCACGAATCACTCCTTCACATTGGAGACGCTGACCACTCCCAACCACCATTGAAATATTCGGGGTAGAATCCACCTTAAGATCCAGAAATTTTGCTACCCAGGGTTGAATAGAATTATGGGTACTCCCACCGTCCAACAACACCTGAACTGGGGAGCCATTAACATGGCCACAAAATCGTAAGGTGGTCGAGGAATTTCCACCTGCCAAGGCATGGTAGGATATAGCCGAGTGCAATTGAACCTCGAGGCATTGAAGCTCCTCGGCCAAGATATCATCGGGAACAAATGAATCAGAGAAGTTAACCAAGTCAGATGTCTCATCTGTGATGATCAAGAGATGGGGAAAAGGTTTACATTTATGACCAGGAGAGTTATTTTGATCACAAGAAAAGCAAAGTCCTTCTCACGTCGTTGTTGAATCTCAGCAGGGGAAAGGCGTTTGACAGGAAATTTCGAGGTTGAATAAGATGGATTGGAGGTAGATGGGGGAGGTGGAGGTAAGGCTAGTTTGGAAGGAGGAGTTGGAAGCAAAGGTGGTTTAGACACCGAAGGGCTTGCAACAGAGGGGGCTGTTTGGAGTAAGGAAATTTACTTATGGGCTCTTTAGACACTAAAGACTTCTGCTCGTACTTACAGTGTTAAAAAAAGCAGGCGCTTCCTCGCTTTAAGCGAGAAGCGAAGCGGAGCGGGAGGGGTATCGCTAGCAGTGTTAAAAGCGGCTCAGGTATGCATAAGCGACCGCTTCTCTCTAAAAAGCGAAAAGCGGTGAAGCGCCCAGAAGCGATCGAAGCGGACGATTTTTCAATTAAAAGGACCCAAAGTCTTTTTTCAAAAGACCCAAATCGCTATTTCTGTTTTAGCACTTCTTCGATTTCTTTAGCAGCAAACTAGGGTTCTTCAAACCAGCGATTTCTTCCTGACTTCAAGCAGCGATTTGTTCAGGCAAACTAGGTTTCTTCTTCTTCTTCTTCAAGACTTCAACAGTACAACAGCAACTTAGTTTCAACAGGTATGTTTTCCAGATTTATTTTCATTCTTTTTCTTCTTTTTCTTCTTTTTATTTTTCTTCTTCTTCTTTTTTTCTTTTTCTTTCTAAACGTCCAAAAAGCGCCGAAATGCTGGCAAATTTTTTTCAAAAAAATTCTGCCCAGTTTCTGCCAAGTTTCTGCCCAATTATTTTTTTTTTTTTTTAAATTCCGCTTCACTTAAAAAAAGCGGGCGCTTCGCTTCTCGCTTCTCGCTTTTCGTGAAATGGGGGTTGTCGTTTTTCCTCGCTTTACGCTATTTTTAACACTGCGTACTTATGGGCCAAAGAAATAGCCTGGCCTAGTGTTGTGGGCTCATGCACTGAAACATCAGTTTGTATGTCCATCCGCAGTCGAGAAATAAAACACTCAATTAGAAATTCATCTGGTAGAGCCATAGTCTCATTAGAGATAGCTTCAAACCTGGAGAGATATTCCGCGACGGTGCTCAATTGCCTGAGTTTGGACAAACGACCCTCCGGTTTCAGCAACAAGCGTTTTTTGAACCGACTACGAAGCTTATCCGCAAAATTATCCCAGTCAATCAATTGCTTGTTTCTATAAAGCCAGCGATACCAATCCAAAGCTTCCCCATCCAAATAAAATGACGCAAGGGTCAGTTTATGTGAATCCTCAATGGAATAAAATTTGAAATACCTCTCTGCTTGGAAGACCCAAGCCTCAACATTATCACCATGAAAACGTCCAAGTTTGACTGGCGCCGGCTTATGCCTTAAAGTTGGATAGGACACCCCTGGGACGATGGATGAAGTTGTAGATCAAGACCACTGTGACCAGTAGTATCAGGTATAGATGGACGTTGCTGGGAGGATAAGGTAGTTAGTTGAGACACAATATCTTGCATTACCTTCTGATTTTGTGCTAGAGCAGAGCGAAAGTCAGCCAGGTCGCGTGAAAATCCAGACTGAGTTTCACGCATCTCCATCAAAGGGTCTGCGGGATCTTTAGTCTTGTCCGACATAGCGAACAAGTCAATGAAAGCACCAAATGTTCTAATCTCAAATATCACACAATAATTCAAAGGAAACTAACTGGATTTCTATTAAAGAAAAGTACTTGCAAACTATAAACAACAATAACTAAAGAGATAAGGATAAATGAGAGGGGAAGGAAACAGAATAGAAGTAGGCAATAGAGGTACTGAGACGAAGAGGATTAGGAGAGATTCTATCAAATTCAACCTACTACTACTATGCTATCAATATGCTATTTAAGTGATTCCCACACATTGCTATTTAACCGTATTCCCCACTACCCATTATAGTTCATCCATATTCCCCACTAAACAGGTTTCCGCACGTAGTCCTTCAATCTTTGGGCTGGTCATTTATTTCGTTTGCTTCTCCTCAGCAGTCCAATTGGCCCATCAGATTGTTCTCGTGTTGACCCATCATCCATGTTGTCATCTTGCCCAATATCAGTCATAACAGTATGGTTCACCAAATGTCGGTTCTTTGATCCTTGTAAATGTGGACTATTTTAATGTTTTGTATTTTAAATGAACGAGCATTTACCTTGGATTCAACTAGTTTTTAAGATTCTCTCAAACTAATACTAGTAAGTTAAAATTAATTCTGGGGTATAGGTGAAAAAAATATACTCTAAAATGGCGACTAACTCATTTGTCTAATTGTTTAAGAACTTCATCCAATATATTTTTAACTAGTATAGAGTCTTTAATAGAATTTCAAAGTATTGTTCACATGAATGGAAGAATATTAAAAAAATAAAATCAAGCACACTTGTTCAAGAATTCCGTTTTTTCCACTTGAAATGTTGATAAAACTATAAAATTAGCAGATATAAATGCTTCTCGTCCTTCAAAGCATGTTGTGCATGAATTTATTTATTTATTCAAAAATATAGAACTGATTAAGGGGGCATTAGGTGCAGATACCATATCGTATCAGACATCACATTGTCATGTTGTTATATTCAGCTAGGAATTGACTAATTTGTTGTGTAAGAATTATAGTCTAACGATCCTACACCAAAGTGGTGTAGCATCCCACGTGTTTACCTCTCCTACCTTCTCCATCCATTGTTCATGAGGCGGTCCACCAATTAACATAATGATTAAGTTATATTTCCTTAGAAAGATTAACTTGAATTATCTTTGATATAGATGGCAATGGGGCACGGCGGGGCATGACAAATCATAAACAGGGCGGAGTAGTTTTTTTTTTTTAAATCTAAATTAAAATTAACAAGTTTGTTTTTCTAAACTAGTCAAATGTAGGTAAATGCAGTGAAAATGAAATAAATTTGTATATGGGGCGGGGTTGGTGAAGCAGCTTTAATCTCCAAAGTAATTGAAGGTACTTGGACTAATAAGTGCTCAGAGTTCAGTAAAATTTAAATGGTTAGTTTCATAAACTTATACTTTATTTACTTTAGAAAATATAGACCTTATTTTTAGCATGTTTTCCGATATTTTAGAAAATCATGGGCATATAAAATTTAAGTTTTAGTATTTTTCAGGTAACTAATACTTTATGTTATACTTAATGAATAAATTTTAAGTGCTAATGCAATAACTTAAGTATTTAATACCACATCATATAATGTGACATGGCAGTCTACAAAGACAATAGTGAAAACAAAAGTTAATACACTCATTCAATCTGTAATCAGTTCATCTATCACAAGCACTTTCCATTTCTTGAGGACTGAGCTAATATACTATAAACTCTGAGTCTATATAGTCAAATGCTCCAACAAGGTACTCTTCAAACCAAATAGAAAATTACTGCGTAGTTAAGCATAATTAATGGCAAATTAGGAAAGCAATGTTGAAATTACCATCCTGTAATGGTCAGACTTTTCGGTTTTCTTAGTGAAGCTAGGAACGAGACCCCATTTCATGCAATGAAGAACAACGCCTTCGTCGTTGGACTCGTCTTCTCTCCTTACCACTGGTACATTGAACCCCGGCGACACATTATACGACGGCCGATACCTAAAAAAAAGGGCTTACACAATTTCATTTTCAAAATTTTTAAGTTAAGAAACATCAACTTTCCACCAACATCTTTCTAAAAACCCTATAGCTACTGAACAGTAAACTGTTTAATTTGAAAATAATTAGAAGCTGAAGAAGAAAGCGGTTACCGGTTCATGTCAACGTGACGGACGCGGCGGCCGTCGAGTTGACAAGCCCGGGGAAAATCATCGGCCCTGAGAGTACACCGAGCTCTTCCGCACATTAGTTCCTGCACTTCTATCAGTTAATCGGCGATTCTGTGTGTGTGTATTTTGGTGTTTCTCGCTTTTCGATTCTGGAAGGTGTCAACTAGGAGGAAGCAAAGGCGGGAAGGAAATAGGGGAACCGCACGGGTGTTTTGGTAATATATGTTGTTTTGGAATGTGCAGCTTGCTAATGACCGTTTGATTAGAGTAGCACCGGTCTAGTGATTTGAGATTCTTTTTTTGTCTGTTTTTTCTCAAATCCTTTCGTTTCGCAAGGGAAATTGGGGCAAATTAAGGGTGTGTATGGTACGAGAGAAAATATTTTCCATGAAAAATGTTTTTCTAAAAATGTGTGATTTTACCACTTTTTTTTTTATTTGGTTGGTGAGTGAAAAACTTTTTTCGAAAAAATATTTTCTGGTGATTGATTCGAGAGTATAAAATATTTTTTGTTTTTTATGCTACTCTCCTCAATCCACCTTTCCCAAAATCATCATGTTTTACATGTTTCATGTACTCCTTCCCCTCATCACCGGGACTCTATTTTCTTCAAGAATTTAATTATTCTTTTCATATTCATACAAACACAAAAGAACTAATGCGCTATTTTATCTTTTCACACAAAAATAACGTTAAAATTTAAGCTCGATAACTAAAAAGAAAATATTTTTTTGTTGAAAACGAAAGTATCATTTCTACATAAGGAAATAAAATATTTTTTCTACACCATGAAAAGAAAGTATTCATTTTGTTGAAATGAGAGAAAATACTTTTCTACATCATGAAAAGAAAGTACTCACTTTTCGAAATAAAATAAAAGTACACTATTTACAACATGAAAAGAAAATACGCTTAATAATATTTCTATTAGGGTTGATGATGAGCAAGGTTGGGGCGGGTGGGGTGTGGTGGGAGTAGGGGAAGGGGTGGTTGGGAGCGGGTGAGGTAGGGTTGGTTTGGGGGTGGAATGGAAGGGGTGGGTGGGGTGGTGGTATGGGGAATAGGGTGGAGAATGTTGAAAAAGAGTATTGGAAAATACTTTCCCTTCTTTTGATAGGGAAAATATTTTCCTATAATTATGGGAAAATGAGTTCATGAATAAAATATTTTTCAAAACATTTAAGCCAACCAAACATAAAAAAAATTAAAAAATAATCTCCTTCATACCAAACACACTCTGAAAACACTTTTGGAAAGAAGTTCCAATAGAAATTATAAATTTCAATACATTTCTATATAAAAATTAATGTTCGGACTATGCTCAAAGCATGTTTGGCCAAGTTTCTTGGAAGTTAAAAGTAATTTTTCGTCAAAAAGAAATACTTATTGAGAAATTTGAGGTATTTGGCCAAAATAGAGAAGTATTTTTGAGCAACAACATAAATAATTTTTCTACTTATGGGAAGCTATAAATTCTAATTTCTTCCAAGAAGCAAAAGCAGAAAATTAACTTTTTAAATAAAAAAATACTTACCATAAATTTATATTTCCCAATTATCCCTTACTTTTTATCCAACCATCCTTTTCTTCTCTTTTATATTTTGAACGTAATTTTATTCTTCTTCTCTTATTCCTGTTTGGAGTAATTTCTCTACTATAAATAAATATTTTCTTTCACTTTCATTGTTTTTTTCTTCGTCTAATATTCTCCTCGGAATAACAAGGCTAATTACCAAATTCAAACACTTTCTTCATAAGGTATGATTATTTTAGTATACCAATATCATATGATATCTTGATTATAGTTTTTTCCGGCGAAATACATAAACGGCTCCTTGAAGTTGTCCTCAACGACCAGCTGAACACCTCAATTGACCCATTTATCATTTAGACACTTCAAGTTTATATTACTCAAATCAAGTAAACACATGTCGCTGATGTGGCATATGCGTGATTGCTAACCAGATTTTGAGCGCGTGATACATTTTTGCAACCTAATTTTTTTTTTAAAGAAAAAACATGAAATACCTCAGCTTAGCCCCTCTTTTTCTTTCAAGTGCAACCCACCACGAAACCACCATAGCTTCCATGAAAATCAGTCACTTAAGCTCCAACTAAGCCACCTTAAATCACTAAAACATATCGCCTTTCATCAAAAAACTTAGTGTCCATAACTTCCAGAGCTTCGCCTATATTCGTCGAGCCAAAACTAATCCCGAGCTAGCCGAAAAAAATAGCAAAATTGCAGCAACAATAGCTGCAAAAAACCACCAAATCTCCACTAGATAAACACCCTCTTTCATCTAACAATACCTTCATTCCAATAGAAACACACAAACAACAACCAATTATTTGGATTGACCGATAATTTTACTCCAAAAATAATAAATTAGAGAAACAAAAGTGAAATAAGCCCAAATTCGTAACCAAGAAAATGACGAAGAAAGAAGACTGAACATTCCAATAGAATCGTTTCTTCCGGCTTTGCTTGGAGGTCAATTTTCCGATGAAAGAGATGAGCTTTTTCCGGCGAGGTCGGTCAATGATTCCATAGTGGATTCTCTGCTTTGGCTATTCTCTTTTGTTTCATATTTGTATTAGTTTTATGGAAAGATTTAGATTTAAATTTTAAGTATGGATGGAAATTTTTTGAGTATAGGGCATGTTGGAGAAGAAGGTGGGAAGGGGAAGGGGTCTAATGGAAAGATCTGTGCTTAATTAGTTGGATGGAGAGTGGATTAGGAAAAAGGGGAAGGAGACGCAAAAGAAGGGCGGAAGGAAGAAGATGAATGGGGGGTGGGGTGGCGTGGGGGTAGTGCTGGTTTTGATTCTGGAAGGAAGAAGATGAAGTAGGGGGCTGCTTTGGTTAATAGTGACGTGAAAAGGTTTATTTCTTCTTTAATTTTTTTTTAAATTATAAGTGTTAAGTTTTAATTATAAATTACACGTGTCGTTCACTGATTGACTCATTTGACACATCATTGCCAAGTGTAACTCACGTATCTGGTCTGTTGCACTCTAGTGTCTATTTGATTTACTTAACTGTCACTTGAAGTAAATGATAAAAGGGTCAATTAAGGTGTTCAGCTGGTCGTTGAGGACAACTTCAAGGGGCGGTTTATGTATTTCGCCTTTTTTTTTCTTTTATGCGTGCATGCATATAATATAGTTGACATAATAAAATATTACTTAGTTTGTTGCTTTCTCAAAAATAGATAACACCTATCATACATGTAACTTATAAGCACATATATCTCTACTGATATTATTACTTTTATATTCCTAACTTTTTAAATATATATTATTTATATTTTATACTGCACTTAAATAAAAATAAAAATCCAATTAAATTCTTTTATACTATACGTAAATATTAAAAATTTCTTTTAAATAATATTAATTATAAACTAAACCTTAAACGTCATTTTTCGTAATTTGACACTCAAAAGCATTTTTTGAAAAGATTGGTCAAACACAATTTACTTGTCAAATATCGCAAAAAGTACTTCTCAAACGAATTGGCCAAACGTAAACTACTAATATCCAAAAAATACCTTTTTTCGGAAAGCACTTTTTAACAAAAGTATTTTCAAAGTTAGTAACTTTTGACAACTTGGCGGGCGGACTCTAAATATGTGTGTAGCATTATAGTAATTAAAAGACATTGTAAGTATTAAATATGTAGTCACCAAATTATCAATTAGACTATGTGTATAAGGTCAAATTTGACCGTCAACGTCTCTACGCCAATGGGTACGCCCAGTGAGTATACGTCAACTAACGTAAGGGTACGACTTGGACGTGGGGACAGAAGCGATATCGTTTAAGACTCAGTGTCTTCACTAGGAAAACGTTACCTATTTTTGTATCTTTTTTATTATTTCGAGGGAGGTCTCCTACTATATAAGGGAGACCTTCACATTGTAAAAAGGGGGATTCTGGAAGAATACAACTCTCTCATTTTCTCCTACTCTCTCTCTCTATCTCTATCTCTAACGAATACTTTCTCTTGAGTTCATATTATCATTTTACACTATTAGATCTACAACAACAACTTCATTCTTCATCTCTAGGTCTATTGTATTTGATTACAATTTACCCTTTCCTACTTTTGATTGTTTTTAAGCTTGCAAAGTGTATCGATAACTTTTGAGCCAAACAATTTGGCGCCGTCTGTGGGGAATACAACTCTCTCATTTTCTCCTACTCTCTCTCTATCTCTATCTCTAACGAATACTTTCTCTTGAGTTCATATTATCATTTTACACTATTAAATCTACAACAACAACTTCATTCTTCATCTCTAGATCTATTATATTTGATTACGATTTACCCTTTCCTACTTTTGATTGTTTTTAAGCTTGCAAAGTGTATCGATAACTTTTGAGCCAAACAATTTGGCGCCGTCTGTGGGGATTTCGAGAATCAAAATCATAGTATCTACCTAGAGAGCAACCAACTACCATTCTCTACACCACACGAAAACAAAAGATGGCTGAAAATAACACCAGAATGAAAGCGATAGTGGGTGTTACAGCCAATCTCCTTGATCCTCTCAACGAGGCCGGTGACAAGGGCATTTTGAATGCAACCCCTAGCATCACTCCAGGTGCAGAGATCTCATCTTCCCCATCCGAAGATCTGACGATCTTGCATGAAAAATGAACTTCCACATCTACGGCTAAGGAAGCGCCCCCGGTGGTCAAGAAGCTACTGGAAGAATGGCTAACAAGCACTCTAAGTGGCTTGGTTGAGAAGTCACCGCAAAGTAACGTCAGGAGTATACCAACGGTAGGTACCACTGCTGTCGTGGGTGAACCTGAAGCTGCACGAGCAAATAACAAACCCATCGAGGCACAGACCAACGACGGCGCGCTAACAGCCATCCCAAAGAAGATGGAAGAAATGGAGAATGAAAACAAAGCACTCTGCGACCAAATGAAAGAACATCAGGAGAGGGTAGACAAGATCCTCGGTGCTCCCAAGTTGCTACCAAAACGCGACGTGGGGAGGTTTGTTGAACAACCATACACTGAAGAAGCTGTCCCTCACCCTATCCCAAAAACCTTCAAGATGCCACCCTACTTGAGGATATATGACGGAACCACAGATCCCGAGGATCATTTGATCCACTATGTCACTGTTGTAAAGGGCAACGACCTATCAAAAGAACAGGTACCATCGGTGCTGCTGAAGAAGTTTGGTGAGACGTTGACAGGAGGGGCCCTAACGTGGTACTCTCAGCTACC